TTGTGGAGAAACTGGAACCTTTTATTCACTGTTGGTGGGAATGTAAAATGGTGCAACCACTGTGGAAGGCGGTATGGTGCTTTCTCAAAAAGTTGCAAATAGAAATACCATTTGACCCATTAATTCCACTACTGGGAACATACCCTAAAGAAACCAGAACTGTCACCCAAGTACATATATGCACAGCCATATTTACTACTTTGTTCACAACAGCAAAGAGTTGGAAACAACCCAAGTGCCCATCAACAAATGGATAGAGAAGCTGTTGTATATTCACACAATGGAATACTATTCTGCATTGAAAAATAAGGAACTCATGAATTATTATACAAAATGGATGACCCTGGAGGACGTTATGCTGAGTGAAATAGCTCAGTCGTAAAAGGACAAATACTGCATAGTGCCACTGTTGTAAAACAGGACTGACACTGGGGTTGAGGTAACCTAAGAAAAGAAGGGATAAATAATGTATACTGCAGTGAAACACATGAGTGAGAGAACTGTTTAAAAGGAATATAAGATTAAGTATTATTTTTATGACAAGATTCCAGAAAAACAAATGCATAATAAAGTGGACTATGGACTTGTGGAGATGGGGGATTGTATAACAATGAAAGAATTTTTCTTTTTTTTTAAACTTTTTAAAGCGAAAAGTGAACTTGGGGGGAGGAGTGGGCAGGGAAGAAAATGTGCAACAATGAATGAATGAGGAAGAAAAAAACAGCGGAAGAATATGCTGTAAATTTTTTTTAAAAAATGAGAGTATAAAAATGAAGGCTCTGTTATTGATTGGCAGTGAGATGCTTGTGTGTTACTATGATATGGAAGCAGAGTTTCTAGGCTAAGATGGACTAGAAAGAAAGACCTGGTGATCTGCTTTGTGTGTCACCTGGGGAAAGCCATATATGGGTTACAACCGTGAGGATGGCATGAGATCAGACAGTGTTATTGCCTGAGACAGAATATGTCTGTAAAGGCCAGAGAAGGAGTCAATATTTCTTAAGTAGAATTTTTTAAGACTGTTTTGTGGAGCGGTTTCTGGCGTAAAGAAAAATTAGAAGGTATAGTGTTCTATTTTTCTACCTCCTCCTGAACATTGTTTCTCCTGTTAGCATCTTGCATTCCCATCATGTATTTGTTACATTTAATGAATCAATATTGATATGTTATTTTTATCTGAAATCCATAGTTTACATTGGGTTCACTCTTCCTGTTGCATAGTCTTATTTACAGTAAAATACTTGGTGTCATGAGTTCACCGGTACTGTTAGCACACAGAATGAACTTGAGTTTTATGATTTACACTGCTGTCCACATGTCTTAGGAATATTTAAGAGGTAGAGGAAAGGTAAGTGGAAGTCAGGTGTCATCTCCATAGATGTCATTATCTCAAAAGGAGATTACATAAAGGAGGACTTCGGAAAGAAGGAAGCTTTATTTAAAAATTACAAGAGGAGGGAGCTCTGGTGGCCAAGTGGCAAGAAGCTGCACTGAAGTCCCAAAGGGGTGCAGTTCGAATCCATCAAATGCTTTGCTGGAGAAAGATGGGCAGTCACTCTCCTTCTGTGCCAGTCAGATCTGACTCAACACAACAACAGCAAAAAAAGAATTACAAGGGTAAAAATATAGAAGTAGTCATCTCAGAAATCAAAGATTTTGCCGTACTTTCCTTTTTCTGGCCTTATGTTAACAAGTTCTCAATGATTTACTGCTTTCCACCCCAGTTGCTTTAAGGAAGCTTAAAATCTAAACAGAAGTTTTTGATACTACTGTCTTTGACAAAACCAATTTAAATTGTCCAGAAGTGAATTTGGCCTTCTACTCTTCTCTTCGGCTGTGCATTTATTGGCTCAGTTTAAGTACATATGGGAAGCTAGTATTTTTGAACTAATGTTACTTTCTTTATTTTAGAATTTATTTGAATTTCTGCTAAGTGGCAAAGTTTTCAATTGAGGCAAACTGCTAATAATCTAGTTCCTCTATAATAACACTGCAGTGAACATTGGTGTACAAATCTCCATTTGTGTCTCATTTCTAATTTTCTTGGAGTATATGCCAATCAGTGGAATAACTGGGTCATAATTGAATTCTATATTCAGCTTTCAGAGGAAACGCCAAACTGTCTTTCAGAGTAGTTGTACCATTTTACAATCCCACCAACAGTGTATTAAAAAGTTCCTGTAATCCTCTCCAACATTTATTTATTGCTATCATGTTAAACTTTGTCACTTCAGCTGGGGCGAGATGGTATCTCATTGTGGTTTTGATGTGCATTTACTGCCAGTGATTTTGAGCATTTCTTCATGTGTCTGTTGGTCATCCAAATATCCATGTCTTTTGTCCATTTTGTGATGGTTAATCAGTCTTTTTCTTGTGGAGGCCCTGTAGGAGTCTGTAAACTTTTGTTATGATACCCTTGTCTAAGATGGTATTGTCAAGTGTTTTTTTCCCAGATCGGTAGGTTTTCTTTTTATTCTGTTGGGAAAATGTTTTTATATGCACAGGGATTTAATCTTTAGAAGGTTCCATTCATCAATTTTATCCTCTCCTGGTTGTGTATTTCTAGCTGACCTTCTAAGCTTGGTCCTACTTTGTCTCTTATGATCTTTATGGTTTGGGGCTTTACCCCTAGGTCTCTGATCCACCTTGAGTTGATTTTTGTGTGTGGTGAGAAGTGTGCATCCTGCTTTAGCTTTCTGCAGGTAGCAGTCCCATTTTGCTAACACCATTTGTTGAAGAGGTTGTTGTTTTCCCATTTGATAGGTTTTGTTTCCTTGTTGAATATCAGTTCACCATGTTGTTGATTGCCGTTGAGTCGAATATGACTTAGAGCAACCCTATGAACAAAAGGCCTGAAGCCTTTCTATAATTATTGTCATTTATCAAGGTTCATAGAGTTTCCAGAGACATGTTGTTTAGGAAGTGAATGCCACTCCTGCCATAGAAAGATTTGTTTCTTGGTTCCCTGTTCTATTCCATTGGTCTGTGTGTCTGTCATTGTACTGGCACCATGCTGTTTTGGTTACTACAGCTTTGTAGTAGGTTTTGAGATCAGGGAGTGCTATGCCTCTCATTCTTGTTTTTCAGAAGTGCTTTGCTTATTCAAGGTCTCTTTCCTCTCCAAATTTGTCAGTTGCCTTTTCTGTCTTTTTGAAAAATGAATATGATGTCTGTATTGGGATTTTGTTAAACATGTAGATTGCTTTTGATTCTTCCTATCCATGAACAGAGAACATTTTTTCCATTATTTTAGATATTTTGTCTTGCAGAAATGTTTTTTGGTGGGGTTTCTTTTTTTTATTATTATTAATTTTAATGGAAGTCTTACAGAGACTTTGGATTTCCATTCACTCATTGTTGCACACTTTCCTCCCTGCTCACCCCTCCCCCCAGTTCACTTTTATCTTTGTAAAGTAAAAAACAAAACAAAACTTCTTTCATTGTTATACAATCCCCCGCCCCCTAGTTCACTCCACTCTGCAGCTTTCATTCTGGACTCTTCTCATGACAATAATAACTAATCATATTCCTCCTAAACGGTTCTCTCCCTCATCTGTTTCAATGCAATATACGTTATTTATCCCCTCTTTTCTTAGGTACCCCAACCCCAATTTCAGTCCCGCTTTACTACAGTGACATTATGCAGTATTTGTTCTTTTGTGACTGAGCTATTTCACTCAACATGACATCCTCCAGGGTTACCCATTTTGTGTAATAATTCATGAGTATCCAGCATAGTATTCCATTGTGTGAATATATCACAGCTTCTCTATCCATTTGTTTTGTTGATGGGCACTTGAGTTGTTTCCAACTCTTTGCTATTGTGAACAAAGCAGCAGTAAACATGGGTGTCTACTGCTACATATATCTACTTGGGTGACATTTCTGGTTTCTTTAGGGTATGTTCCCGGTAGTGAAATTGCTGGGTCAGATTGTATTTCTATTTGTAACTATTTTTAAAAATTTTTTTTAATTATTAATTTCAAAGAAAATTTACAGAGACTTTGGATTTCCATTCATTCATTGTTGCATCTTTTTGTATCATCTATTTGTAACTTTTTGAGAAAGTGCCGTTCTGCCTTCCCAAGTGGTCACACCATTTTACACTCCCACCAACAGTAAATAAGGGCTCCAGTTTCTCCACAGCCTCGCCAGCATTTGTTGTTTGCTGTTCTGTTGAATTTTGCTAATCTTACTGGGGTGAGCTGATATCTCATGGTTGTTTTGGCAGAAATATTTATAGTTTTCTTTGTAAAAAAGTTTTGTGTCTCTATTTAGGTATATTCATAAATATCTCAATTTGTGGTTGCCTATTGTACCCCTATTTTTAAGTTTTTAAATCACCTTTATAGTTGTCAGATTACATACTATAGCTGATGGTTTTATTTAAGATTCATTTTAAATTTTGGCAAGAGCCCATCTAGCCTTTCATAGAACTTTTAAGAGTTTTGGAATAATTTTTTTCCCCCCATTTAGTATTGAAAACTGTCAACCTTAGAGCAGATAATTGGTATTTTTTACCTAAAAGTTATCTTCAGTAACCTTGCCCTGCCCATTTAAAAGTTAGAGAAGGAGCAGTGTCATTCTGATAATCCCAGTGTAATGAATGTTCCCAGAAACATGAACTAAATTCCAAATATAAGCCTTTTCACACCTCATTTTAAAAGAAACTTAAATTTTTTTCTTTTTACTAAGCGCTACTACCTCTCCTTTTTTAGAAAATCTAATCATTTTAAGAATTGACCCTGGGTGTTCTGTAATAAATCAAGATTAATACTGAAGTATTTGAATATTTTCCGTATCTCCTTCATTAGGAGGTTAAAAGCAGAGGTAATAATAAATAAGACAGTGGTAATTTTTTGTTTTGCTGGCATTCATGAGGAAATTGATCATTTAGAAAGCACCGAGAGAAGTAACTAATTTTTCCTTCACAAATTTTTTTATTATAATAAATGTTTTAGATTTTCTAACTGGTTTAATCTATTTGTTTCTCTCTACAGCAAAACAGATCGGCTTGCCAAAGGATCAGAATGTTACCAAAAGAGCCTTAGTTTAAATCCTTTCCTCTGGTCCCCCTTTGAATCATTATGTGAAATAGGTAGGTTTATAGAAATAATGGGGGGTGGGGGAGATGGTTACCCTATTTGCTCCTTACTATTCTTGATGACTTTTTAGAGAGTGGTACAAATCTGTGAAAAGAGGCTCTTTCAAAGCTAAGTATTGTTTAAACTAGAAATCTATTAACAATCATATTTTAGGAATGCAGCCTTTTATTGTTCTACTCCAAATCCAGTAGTCTCTTTTAGTTAATTAACTAAGTAAATATCTTAAGTCCTCTAGAGTGATTGTGCTTAGCACTACCAAAAATGACTCTGCCTAAGAACTTTCCAGTGAAACTAATGCTTAGGGTACAAACTAATGGGAATAAGACAGTAATGCTATGGAGTGAGAGTCTTAGTATATATGCTCTAGAGCCGCACAAGGGTTTGTTTTTTGTGATTTGAGTGAGATGTTACAAAGCAGATTCTTTTCATTCATCCATTCATATGCATTTTGTAACATTAATTACAATATCCACAATCTAAATCTCACTTTCGTTACTTTCTCCCCATAATTGTCATTTCTATTAATCTGATCCTACTTCTTCTTGCTTTCATAGCTTTATCCTTGAGCAGATGAAGTTCTTTGGACCATATGTGGGTGGTTGTTCTAAGGAATAAGTTCCTCCCTGGTGTTGCAGTTTACCTAATAGAGTTTACTTTCTATTGTTTGGCTGAATGTTGAGCCATGAGTCAGGTTCATAGAGTGACTGAGAGCCATAGTCTTCAGGGTTTCCACCAGTTTCCATCAGATCAGTAAACCCAGCCTTTTTTATGGTTTAAAGTTTAGCTCCCCATTTCCCTCCACTTTATCCAGGATCCTCTACTGTGATCCTTCTGAGAGCAGTCAGCAGTGGTAGCTAAGTACCAGCTAATGCTTCTGGTCTCAGGATCGTTCTTGGGACTAATTGTTTCAGTATTATCTTTGCTTTTTCCCCCACCAGCCCCCCCATTCTTTGTTTTTGATAAGGAAAGCCATTTACTTGGCACTTAGATAGCTGCTTCCAAGCTTTTAGGCCCAACCAAAGTAGGAGGTAGAACATTGTTTTGTGAACTTTATTATGCCAGTTGTCCCAACACCCAGAACAGCAACTCATTCCTGAAGGTGTTTGGTTATGCTTTTAGAAAGTAAGAATTGCCTCCTGTAGCCTCTGCCATATAAATGCATGTGGACATTTATCTGCCAAAACCCTCTGTGGTCATGGATATAGTCCTTTTCACCTAACCACATTTGTTCACCGTTTCTGTCTACCTTATCTGCAGTTACTATATTTCCTGTATACCTTTCTGTCTTCTCTTTCTTTGGCAGTATTGTGCTGATAATTCCCTTATTGTTTATTTCCATCAAGAACTGTTTTCAAACACTTTTTTGTAGGTACATGAAAATACTTAAAAGTTTAATTTCCATAATAGTTTGTACTTCCCACTCCTATACTTTGCCTTGGGGAAAAAAATTATAGTTGCTTTCTGCTTTAAAAGGCAGACACCTTCATTTTCCTATAGTTTATTATATTAAAATCTGTATCCTTTCTGTTTCATATGTTGGGGGATTAATTACAGTAATTGATGGATGGACTTCTGGGAAGTAAATTTGATTTGCCAAAACAGAAGAATTTTAAAAACTCTATATGAAACATTCTGTTAGCTAATTTGTGCATTCTTTAAAAAAAATTAACCCTCATTTCCTTTTGTAACTTCATTTCACTTTTTGGTATTCACAGGTGAAAAGCCAGATCCTGACCAAACATTTAAATTAACATCTTTACAAAACTTTAGCAACTGTCTGCCCAACTCTTGTACAACACTAGTATCTAATCATAGCTTGTCTCATAGACAGCCTGAGACAGTTCTTACAGAAACACCCCAAGACACAATTGTAAGTATATTGTAATCTAGTGTTCAGAATATTACGCAATCTAGAAAGCATCACATAAACTAAATAATGTATGGTAAATGACATGGCAGAAAATTTCTATTTCAGGAATTAAACAGACTGAATTTAGAATCTTCCAATTCAAAATACTCCTTGAATACAGATTCCTCGATGTCTTATATTGATTCAGCTGTAATTTCACCAGATACTGTCCCTCTTGGAACAGGAACTTCCATATTATCTAAACAGGTTCAAAATAAACCAAAAACTGGTCGGAGTTTACTAGGAGGACCAACTGCTCTTAGTCCATTAACCCCAAGGTAAGAAAGAAAAAAAAAGTTTAAAATATACTATATTTGTATATCATCTTTAAAAACTTCATTTAGTAGTATAAACTATTTCTCAACAGCAGATTTCTAAGTAACTATGGAAATTGAGACATTTTAATAAATCTGTAAAATTAAATATTGGAGAAATTCTTGAAACTCTCAAGTATGCCTTATTCAGCTAATGTGTGCTCTAAATGGCAGTGTCCTTTTGACTTCAGCAGTAGGTAGCAGTGGCCCTTCTTGATGAGCTGGTGGGCTTATGTTGAAATCAGCATCTTTGTTGTTATGTGTCATCGAGTCAGAACCAGCTCGTAACTGACCCTCCAGCAGGTTTTCAGAGGCATTCTGAAAATTTCCCATCTTTCTCCCATGGAGCATCTGGTGGATTTGAACGACCTGCCTTTGGATTGGCAGCGTAACTTCTCGCGATTAAGCCACCAGAGCTCCCTGAAATCAGCATTAGTTAAAGTATGAAGGAAAGATGTCTGTCAATATAAAGATATATCTAGAGACTTCCTTTTTCTCTAGAGACATTTCCTTCTGTTAAAAAATTTCCTCTATAATCGTGTCTAAATTAAAGAATTTAGTATCATTTCATCATTTGGATCTTTTAAAAATCCACTTTTCTTTATTTCTAAAAAGTCTCCTAAGAATCAGTAGATACTGCTCAATTTCATTTCTTGTTTGTTGGGTTTTTTAAAAAAAATCTTCATTATGGTGGGTGGAATAGTCTACATTCACAGCTTATTTTTAATCTGCCCCTCAGATCTTCACTGCCCCCAAGACTGATTTGCCATTCTCTTCCTTTTAGACCTTCTAATTTAAGTATACTGCTGCTTTATATATGCCTTGATGACTTTTTGACACCTTGATTTCAACCTCTTCTCAGTTTTGGGATTTTGCCATTAGAAACCCCAAGTCCTGGAGACGGATCCTATTTACAAAACTACACTAATACAACTTCTGTAATTGATGTGCCATCCACCGGAGCCCCTTCAAAAAAGGTATTTTCCAAGTAAAATACAGCTTAGTATGAGTAAAAAAAATTAAATTTATAATCTGTTAAATTGTATTTCATGAGTTCATGGGGAGTGAAGTGTTCAACTATTAGTTGAGAAGTTGATGGTTTGAACCTACCCAGAAGTCCCTCAGGAGAAAGTCTTAACAATCTGTTTCCAAGATCACAGCTTTTGAAAAGCCTGTAGAGAGAGCATTTCTCCTCTGCAGACATTGGGTCACCATGAGTTGGAATTGACTCAATGGCAACTAACTATAACAACAAAAGATCATTTCAGAGAAGCTCTGAACTGGTTTTGCCTTAGAGTTATTGACAAAATCATTTTCATAGCCTTCTAGTTATTATTGGTTACACAAAACTGGCTGCCCCTTTCGTAACTTACAAATTGAATTTATTTAGGTAAATAGCTAAATAAAGATATCTGGAATTTTACTTTTAAACAAAATTAAGATTTCATAATATCCCTTTATATAGATCTGTAGCCATAAAAGCCAAAGTGCCATTTATTTAAAGTTGTTCGTGTGTTATGTTAATGTAAGTATTAAAGTAGTTTATTTACGTATAATGGTTATTGCCATGCCCAGAACCTAAATAAGTTATACTAATATATGAATGATTGATACAGTATTGTACCTTTACTTTCTTAGAAGCATGCTTTTATTTTGGTTTTGTTTCTTCTACTTTTGAACTTCACAGTCTCCAAACACATTTTTGCAATGATAATAATTATAATAGGAGCTCCAAGAGCAAGAACAAAAGAGTGCAAAGTAATTCATGTTTGAATTGTCTAAAAACCTACTCCTTGTAAGCTCATCTAATAAATTGTGTTTTCTATATTTTAAAAAATAAAAAAACCAAGTCTATAGAATAATTGCTTTAAAACCTCAATATTTTAAAAAAATTTTTTAAAAACTCAATATTTTTAGATAAATATTTCTTAGAAGTAAAAAAAAACCAAAACAAAACCAAAGCCTGCCCATATTGTTTGGGGATTGAAATATAGTTATAGAAATTAACTTATTACAGCTGTGTAAAAGCATAGCAGGATGGTAGGTAGGAACCAAGCCAGGTGAAGTATACCAAAATCATATCTGCCAAGGATGAGTTACAGAGTGGAACAGGTCCATGACCCAAGTGCCCACTACGTAAAAAATAATTGCTGCCTTACCTTTGTGTTTTCTTCTTCTTCTTTTTTTTTTTTTAAATCATTAGACTCAATTTAGTCTAAGATTTATTAAAACATTGCTCAGCCACACATCAAACTTGGATAACATTAAAGCCCTTTTCCTTCTTAACCAAGGAAGTTATATGATGTTTTTCAAAGGAAGGAGTGATCAATGATATATCGAATACAGTAAAGGCCATAATAAAGCTTCAGTTCTGATGAGAACATGATTGTCACTGATTTTCTAGTTAGCAATTTGAGAACTGTTTACAGCAGATAAAGTTGTTGTTGTTGTTGTTGTTGTTATTGTTATGTGCTCTTGAGTCAACTGTGACTCATAGTGACCTTTGCCCTATCTGGAGCCAGCCTCAGCATCATTGCCACAGTGAGTGCCAGATAAAGTTATCTTAAGTAGTATAATTTTCTTAAAAAAACAACTTGCAAAACAAGAATAGTAGATCACTTTCAAAAGAAGCTAGAAGATGAAAGTGAATAGAAATAAGGTGACAAATTAAAAATCTTACTATGTTACTTTTTAATGTATATTAAATTTTATCATAAATAGTATTTGTCCTAAAACTGTCTCTACTGTCCTAAAACTTTATCTCTACTGTCTAGCACCTAACTCCAAATAGAGGAGAATTGTAATAAATGAAGGGCGATCACAGTACGATAAAAAAGAATGGCTTCTGGAAATTTGGAACCTTTCCTTTAAAACTAAAGTGAAAGATAATAACATAGAAGTACAAATACACTGAGGATATAGGCTGATGTTTGTAATAGATAATGATTTATTAAGTCATTCAGTAGTTTTAAGATGATAGTATATATTATTAAATCTTAAAATTATTATTATTATTTTGTTATTATTATTATTAAATCCATTAAGAGGATGTAAATGTGCTAGTTGTATTGTCTTTTAGAGTTTACAGTGTGGTAAATTTACAGTTCATGTGAACTTAGACTCTCTGTGTTTTACAGTCTGTTGCTAGAATCGGCCAAACTGGAACAAAATCTGTCTTCTCACAAAGTGGAAATAGCCGAGAGGTTACTCCAATTCTTGTTGCACAGACGCAAAGTTCTGGCCCACAAACAAGGTATTTATGTTGTTATTTGACATTGTTCAGCTAGTGTCCTTCCCTTTCTAGCTGTGAAACTTGATTCTTTCACTTTTTCAAATTTGGCATTGCTTTACCATTGTCCCCCAACAGTCCCCCAACAGTTTTAGAATGACTGCTATAAATTATGAAAGTGTGAATTTTTATATTAATAACTCACTGAGAAGACTATTGTAAATTTTAATTGAATGTTGTTAATAAAAATCCTGACAAGGCTTTGCTAAAATGTTTTTTCCATTTACTGTTGCATGAATATGTTTAACTTAGACACTCTAAACAGTCCTCCAAAATCTTTTTCTTCATATGTCCATCACCTTTTCTATATGTTGAATACAGACAGTTTTCATTCTTCCATATGAATATCTATAACCAGATCATAAAATTCCTTTATTTCTAAACAGAAAGGGTCCTGGATAAAATTTCTTTTTTTATTGGAGAACTCAAATAGATATATGCATGTGCCTTGACTATATAGAAGGCCTATATTTCTGTAAGTTTGGGGATGATAAATCAGCCTGATCTTGAGTTCTAGCTTATAGACAAGTGGCAGAAATTGTCTGAGGCTATATTAAGAAAAAGATCTTGAGTATTCTTATATGGACTGAGTATCTACTAGGTGAAGACGACCTGACCTTAAAGCCTAAAACCTGTGGGGCAAAATCTCATGGTGTCACCATGAGTCCAAATAAACTCAGTATTTTACAGTACCTAACAATAACATAGTCTAGTCCTAAAGGTGGGTAATTTTAATCTGCAGCCCTCAGGCCTGGATTTAATTGTTTTTGGTCATTCTTCTATGCGGTATAGCACTTTCTGTCCATTTGCTATTCAGAGGTAACTGGTGGTTGAACACTGTGACACTGATGTGTCAAATGCAGTAGTGGTTACCTATGGCAGACAGTATTTGGTGGAGCTCCTCAGTTAAAACAAGCTTGGAAGCAGGAGTGGCATCCACTTCTGAAATAGCTTGCCTCTAAAACTCTATGAACTTGGAGAAACAATGAAAGTTATACAAGTGTTCAGGTCTTTCATTCATAGGGTCGCTATGAGTCATCTATGACTCAACGGCACTTAACAACAACAGTCCTAAAGAATGTATAACTGTATAACTACTAAAATATCATTTTAATAAGCAATGACTATTAATAACTTTATGTCCCTTTTATTGATAACTTCTTTTATTTCCATTATATTGTTTTATTAATAATTACTGTTTGTTTGATCATTATAGAGTTAGATAGAGTATGCATCTAACTCATCAAAGTCCGTGTCCAAGTAATATTAGACCACTTCAAGTATAGTATAGGGAGCTCTAGTGGCATGGTTTATAGTAAGTAAAGTGGGAGGATAAATTCACAGTAGAAATCTCTTCCTTGGATTTAAGAAGTTGGTGTGGGCTTTTTTTGTTTTGGGGTTTTTTCCTTTTAGATTAGAACTCTTAATTTAAAAGAATTTGGTACTCTTAGCTAGGTTGTCCAAAAATATTTGGGTGTCATTTTCTTCGTGTAAATTTTCCTCTAAAAGTAATTTTTTAATATTTTTATAACTGAATAATATGAAAATGCTTCCTTTTTAATGACACTCACAGCGCTTGAGTCATTTCTGACTTGAGACCTGCACTGAGGGACAGAGTAGGACTGACCCTTAGGGTTCCAGGGCTGTAAGTCTTTACAGAAACAGACTGCCTCATCCTCCTTCAGTGGAGCAGCTGATGGGTTCAAACCACTGACTTTTTGGTTAGCAGTTAACAGCATTAACCACTGTACTATCAGGACTCCTTTATATTTGATGTGAAAATCATGAAAGGATATTATTTACACAAAACTTTCCAAGAAGTTTAAAATAACTGTTATATGTTCACTTAGCCTATAAGTGATGGAGCTAGAATTCAGACTACAGCTCTCTGGTCCCATAGGATTCCATAGCATACTTCTTTCATTGACAAATCCCTACTTAAACAGATGCAAGCTAAAATGCTTCATATATAAATATTTCATAAAATATAACCAGAATTTTGAACTATCTGCATCGCCTGCTCTAGTTTTGTCAGTTTTTTTTTCTCGTGTTATATCAGCCGGTAGAGTTAACAAGACACTTATCAAAATGATAATATAGAAAGACTTTATCTTCTCTCAGTCCCATAACCCCCTTTTTACTTTAACCCAGGAGACTTATGTTACCTGTATGTAGCCTTCTGTCTTGTTTAAAGCAATCTCAGCCCCATTCTTAGGTTGACCTGTGTTGTGGATTATCTTCTCCTACTTCTTAGTAATAATTTTCTCTGTAATTAGGCAATTTAAAATATTTTTTTAATGAAAGTTTACAGAGACTTAGGGTTTCCAGTCATTCACTGCTGCACTTTTCTCCCTTCCTGCCCCTCCTCCCATTCACTCTTCTTATTGAAAAGTAAAAGAAAAACTCTTTCATTGTTACATAATCCCTCCCCCCAAGTCCACTGTACTGTGCAGCCTTCATTCTGGACTCCTGTCATGACAATAATACCCAATCATATATCCCTTTTAAACAGTTTTCTCCCTCCTCTGTTTCAATGCAGTATACATTATTTATCCCCTCTTTCTCAGTCTTCCCTCAATGCCAGTGTCAGTCCCGTTTTGCAACACTGGCCCTGTGCAATATTTGTCCTTTTGTGACTTATAATTAGACAATCTTGAAAAGCCTAGTGGTAAAAGAGTTGTCCTGCCAACCCCAAAGGCAGATAGTTCTAGTCCACCAGTTGCTTCATGGGAGAAAGATGGACGGTCTCTCCTTGGAAGGTCAGCTGTGAATTCATTTCAACGTGACTGGCAATGAGTGAGTTTATTAACAAAATGAAGACCTGTAACAGTTTGAACCCATTATCAACTTTATGGAAAAAACATGTGACCACCCAGCAGTCATGGGAACTCTATGGGATAGTTCTGTGCTGTCCTCTATGACAGGGAACTTCTCTATCCTACTACTGGAGCTGCTCATAGAGGTACTATGAGTTGAAATCAACTGAATGACAATGAGCATTAACAAAATATAATAGCTATTTGTTTAGTCCATACACTTAACTGCTCTGTATTACATGATTTCAAGTTTTAAGTTTACTTGGTTTACTTTCTAACAAAGCACCCACCTCACTCCCACCCCCAAAGCAATCTAGACCTTTAATGACTGGGTATGGTTTTCTTGGGATGATACTCTTATATATTATAGCTTGTCTTTAAAATAAAACAGGTACAGCTGATTATCAGAATCTTTTTTCTCTAAATGGAACACATATTAATGAAGCACTCTTTAATTTACAAGGAAATAACTTCTCTAGTATTAGTTGTTCTGGTCGTACGTATTTGTTGGTAAATGATCACACATTTAGAAAGTCCATGGCTACCTGCCTACCTTTTTCTCTAACTTGGTGTAGTTATAAATGAAGGCTAGTGATAATTGGGGAATCCCAGAACACTTGATTATGCTCATGTGAAATCTGTACTCAGACTAGGAAGCAGTCCTCAGAACAGAGCAAGGACACACTGAAATATCAGAAAAAGAATGTATCAGAAATGTGTCCTGTCTTCATACTTTTCAGTCTATATGCAGAGCAGATCATTTGGGAGGCTGGGCCTTAGGAGGAAGAATGTGGCATCAGATTTGGAGGAAGATTCATTAACAACCTACATTAGGCAGATGACACAATCTTATTTGCTGAAACTTAGGAGGACCTGAACTGCTTGCTTCAGAAAGTCAAAGACTATAATCTTCAATATGAATGAAGCTCAACATCAGGAAGACAAAGATTGTTACCACTGGGCCAATTGGAAGCACCATGATAGATGGAGAAGAGATTGAGCTTGTATCAATTTCCGCTTGTTTGGCTCCACAATCAGCACTCTTGTCATCAGTAGTCAGGAAATTAAGACAAATTGCACTGGAAAATCTGTGATCAGGAACCTCTCCAGAGTACTGAGAAGCAACAGTGTCAGTCTGGAGACTAAGGTGCACCTGATCCAGGCCATAGTTTTCTCAATTGCTTGCTAAGTGTCAGAGAGCTAGACAGTGACTAAGAATGAAAGAAGAATTAGTGCCTTTGAATTGTTACTGGAGAAGAGTATTGAACATACCATGGCCTACCAAGAAAACAAATAGATCTGTCTTGGAGAGAGTGAAACCAAGTTTCCCCCTTAGAGGCTAGGATTTTGAAGCTCTATCTCACATATTTTGGGCACATGGCCAGGAGGGACTGGTTATTAGAAAATAACATCATACTCAAAAGAGTGGAGGGACAGCCCAGGAGAGGGAGACCTCAAATAAGCTGAATTGATACAGTAGGGAAATGGGCGTAGTAGTGTGTTGGAGTCAGTGAAACTGGCTAAAGGTAGGACAGGCTTCAGAGCTGTTGTACAGCAACAGTAACAACAGCTGTTTATTTGTCCTTAATTTTATAAATTTAAAGTAGTTTTTCAAAAAGAATGGGGATCGGTTCTGTAGTCTTTACCATTATGTGGTAAGGTAACTAGTTATTAAATTCTGAGTTTTCATAAGGAGAAGTAGCAAGAACTAACCAAGCTCATCAGCTTTTGAGTAAAGCATGATAAATATTTAATATACATTAAAGCAAAGTTAATGGTCATAAACAGAATTAAAAATAAATGTTGTCTTTTATAATTGTCTTTGTAGTACAACACCTCAGGTATTGAGTCCCACTATTACATCCCCCCCAAACGCACTGCCTCGAAGAAGTTCACGGCTCTTTACTAGTGACAGCTCCACAACCAAGGTAACTTAAATACATTTGTAATGCATGTGCATGCCACTTCCTTCTCCCACATCTAGTCTCTAGTAAATAACTTCCCTTACGTTCATTCTAATAAATATGTTTCCTGAGTTTTGAGGAACTCTGGTGTCCTGGTCCATAGGAAGTTTTGATGCTAATCCAAAACGTGACTCTTTAGCAATTTGAATCACACACAGCTCCTGGGAAGAAGGATGGGCAGTCTCTTCACATGTGATTTAAAGCCTCAGAAAGGTTTATCCATTTTAATGCCCTTGAGATACTTAGATAGTAGTATATCTATTTCTATACTTCTTTTTAAATAATGAATGTGATAACTTTCAATAAAAAGCGATGCTGATACCAGCCTTACTTAGTGGTTAGTTTATACAGTTTCTTCTTAGACTTGTTATATTTAAAATTAAGTTACTTTGAAAGCCTTTGTTTTTATAGAATTTTATCTGAGAAAAATACAGATAATTAAGATTGCATACATAAATATAATACTTGAGAGGGGTTGAATAGAGATCTGAAATACATGAGTGTAACAACTGTGGGATTCCTCTTTTCTTTTTTACAGGAGAATAGTAAAAAATTAAAAATGAAGTTTCCACCTAAAATCCCAAACAGAAAAACAAAAAGTAAAACGAATAAAGGAGGCATAACACAACCAAATATCAATGATAGCTTGGAAATTACAAAATTAGACTCTTCCATCATTTCAGAAGGAAAAATACCCACAATCACTCCTCAGATCCAGGCTTTTACGCTACAGAGAGCAGCCGCAGGTCAGTTTTGGCACTTAACAGCTCCTTTGTATTTTATTACTCGTGTAAGTGAATTTCTGTTATGGTTATTGTAGTGTCTTATATTTCTGTGTACATTGATGTTGGAATTGTCAAGGAATTCTTTGGTAAATAACCTTTCTAGAAAATCATACTGTTTTGTTGTTCTTGTCTCCTTTGTTTACTATATTGTTTTCTCCTAGAAGGTTTGATGAGCCTTCTTCGTGAAATGGGGAAAGGTTATTTGGCTTTGTGTTCATACAACTGCAAAGAAGCGATAAATATCCTGAGCCACCTACCTTCCCACCACTACAATACGGGTTGGGTACTGTGCCAAATCGGAAGGGCATATTTTGAACTTTCAGAATATATGCAAGTAAGTACAGAAAATGTATGTGTACTTTTCCAGAGATAAATAACATATTCAAGCTTGAAAAACTTAAGTCTAAATGGATAATACGTCTTAAGTCTTTTTTTTTTTAATTTATGGGCTGCCAAGAAAACAAATAGGTCTGTCCTGGAGAGGGTGAAACCAAGTCTCTCCTTGGAGGCAAGGGTTTTGAAGCTCTGCCTCACTTACTTTGGGCACATAGCCAGGAGAGGTCAGTCCTTGGAGAAGGACATCATGCTCAGAAGGGTGGACAGACAGCACAGGGGAGACCCTGGATGAGATGGATTGATAAAGTAACTGGGGTGATGGGGATTGGTGTGTCAGAATTAGTGAAACTGGCTCAGGACAGGGAAGGTTTCAAAGGATCTCATCATTTTCTATGTCCTGAGATAAACAGAGTTGGTGTCAGGTCTCTGAATATTAGTTGAATTCACCGGTAAAGTCCTTTGGACTAGGACTTTTTGTTGGTTGAAAGTGTTTATATGACCTATTAATTTTCTTCTTTTGTAAAGGGTTTGTTCAAAGTTTCTGCTTCTTTCTGTGTCAGTCATTTTCAAAGTAATAGATTATGAAAAATTTTAGTCTCAAGGTTTCTGTATCTGTAATCTAATAATCACATGACACTAATAATCACATAAATGCCTATTTGAAAAACATATCTTGATAACATTTAGGAGATTTCAGGAAAGTTAGAAATTATCAGCCTAATCCTTGGATCCTTTTAACCTATTTTTTTAACATAGATTTTCAACCTGTTAATAAAAATCAGTAGAAAAATTAATTTTGTGGTACAGGCATTATCTTTCCATCTGTTTTCCTGAAAGTTATCCTATAAAGAAAATATTAAAATGTGAACTTGGGGGGTTTTTAGATATAAATTAGCATATTGTTTATAAATTGTAACTTTGTCTAGATTTCTCATCTGTCTCTTTGGTAGAAACATGATCTTCCCCTGCAGTTTTATAGGTAATAACAAGAGACCAGGTTGCCTAATTTTGGTCTTGTGTTGTTATTTAACATTTCCACTCAAAAAGCATAATAAAAGGAATCATTTAAATCTTACTAAATCTCTTCCTGTGTACATGGTATCGACTTGTTTTCTCCTAATTTTTTTTTCTTCCTTCATTTCAGGCTGAAAGAGTATTCTCAGAAGTTAGAAGGATTGAGAACTACAGAGTTGAAGGCATGGAGATCTATTCTACAACACTTTGGCATCTTCAAAAAGATGTTGCTCTTTCAGTTCTTTCTAAAGATTTAACAGACATGGATAAAAACTCACCAGAGGTATGTTAAGTGGAACACTCTGCTTACACAGGATCATGTCATCTTAGCTTTTGATCATCTTTTATAGATGGATATCAGCCACATAATTCCAACACCATTTAGTATTACCCACACTTGGTTTTGTACGCCCTTTCTCCTATTTATTCTGAAATAAGTGATGAGAATTCACAAATGGGCAAATCAGAAAACAGATATTTCACTCAGGATTAATCAAGATAACTGTAAAGAAAGCTGTTGTCCCTGGTCAAAACAGGAAAAAAATGTAGCCCAAAACTCAAATTTATTTCAAAAAAAGACTAGACATACTAATCTGAGGAGCTGGAACAAATATTAAGATTATTCCTCTAATTATCAAAAACCAAAATGAAAACCACAGTTCAAACATATTCCCATTGAATCAGAAGTAACTCCTGGCTGACTCTCCATTGAACGTTGGGTTTCTGGTTCTGTAAGTTCATGGGGGAGATTTGCCCATCTTTCTCCTGAGGCGCTACAGTGCATTCAAACCACCAGGGAAGCACAGCTTTTGGGTAAACAGCACAGCTCCAGACACACGAGGCCGCCAGGGCTCCCTAATCAGTTATAAGAAACCAATAGGGCAACATCTGCTCAAAATCAAAGAAGGTAAGGCAGAAAGTGGGAGAGAACACTAGACGAGTAGAAATGAGGAACCCCAGGTAAAAGTGGAGGGAGTACTGACACATTGCAGAGCTTGCAACTATTGTCACAGTTTATGTGTAAATTATTGAGTAGAAAACTAATTTGCTGTGTGAACTTTCACATAAGGCTTATTAAAATATTTAGAAATAAATTATAAAAAATTATTAAGTAAAGAAAAAAATAATAGTGATAGATGTTTTAAAAATCACTGTGGGCACCAACATCATTAAAGAATTGTATAGGTTAAAAGAAGTGCTGATTTTAAAAAAATTAGTAATTTTCATTGTCATGTAAAATCATTAACAGTTATTTTATATACTCCACTCTTTAGAAAATACGTTTCAGTGCATATCAAGATGCTTGGTGATACATTTCCTAATGTATTTTTACTTAAAGATCTATATTAAAATACTTCAGTTTTTACCTTTATGGTCTAAATAGAATCTGTAGCTTGATTTCAGCTATAGATTTTATTTTGTTAATTATTGTTGTTGTTGTTGTTGTTATGTGCCATCAAGTCGACTATGACTCATAGCGATCCTATGAATAATAACTCTGGACCTCACCCTATCCTGAGCTAATTTCACCATCTCCAGCACACCTGACCCCATTGCCACAGTCAGTGTGTCAGTGTCTCTCCTCCAGGCTCTTCCTCTCTTGCACAGACCCTCCATCCCTTCAGGCATGATGTCCTTTTCCAAGGACTGGCTTCTCTTGATAACATGCCTAAAATAATGTGAGACGGAGTTTCAAAGTTCTTGCCTCGAAGCAAACTGGTTTTACCCTTTGCATAACAGACCTGTTTGTTCTCTTAGCAGTCCATGTACTCTTCTCTAGCACCAAACCTCAAAGATAGCAGTTCTTCTTCTGTCATCCTTATTCATTGTCCAGCTCTCAGATGTGTAACAAACAATTAAGAATACCATGGCTTGAATCAACATACCTTTAGTCTTTAGGCTAATTTTGTTAATTAGAAAAAAGAAAATTATTTAATTGTGTTTTCTGCTTTCATTTTTTTTTAAAGGCCTGGTGTGCTGCAGGGAACTGTTTCAGTTTGCAACGGGAACATGATATTGCAATTAAATTCTTCCAGAGAGCTATCCAAGTTGATCCAAATTATGCTTATGCCTATACTCTATTAGGTCATGAATTTGTGTTAACTGAAGAACTAGACAAAGCATTAGCTTGTTTTCGAAATGCTATCCGAGTCAATCCTAGACATTATAATGCATGGTAAGTGCTAACAGAGTACAAAGACAAACTATTATTGATGAGGATGATACTATGTAGTTTTTCTTGTTAGATCTCTGTTGTCATGAATTTTGTTAGTAATAATTAAGAATAGTATTTGTTGATAAATTCTAACCATTTATGTGAAATTTATACTTTTAGCTGATAATTACCAGAATACTAGATCTTCATAGTCACCTGTTTGAGGCTTTTCTCTACAAGTAGTTTTGTTACCTGATTTATCCATTTTAACATAGCAGTTAGAACAAGAAGTGTTTGGTGACGTGGGAAAGGAAGAATATAATTCATCTGTAATAATGGGAAATAAAAATTAAAAACAATTCACTAGTTTTTACTCTTTGAGATATAATCATGAATATTTCTTTCAGCCCAGCTTTCTCATTTATTATGTTTTGCTTTTTTGTACTTGTGCAATGGTAGACAAAAAAAATTTACATCTGCTTATATAATTTTTGAATGAAAACATGAAAGAATCTATTCCTATTTTTGCCTCAATACTATATATATTTACATTTTATTATACTTTTCCTAACTAACTTCATAGTTTAAATATCAAAAAGTGCAATTTTAAAAACAGTAGATAACTAGTATATTATGTTTATATAGAATTTAATGGATTAATTTCTAGGCATTTGTGCCTGAAAGATTACCTCATAATAGCTGACTAGCTTTTGTAGCATAAGAACTTTCTAATACTACCTTCTCTTCATCGAGATAGTTCTCTTCAATCTTAAGAACTCTATTCTTAAATGGAAGCTTGTTGTTTTTTTAAAAGTGTAGTGTATGTTCTGCTGTATTTCATTAGTTTCATTCTTAAGAAACATTTCCATAGTAAGAAATTCTGTTATTAAAGTATTGTTTCAGATGGCAGAAGGGAGGAAAATGCAGACTGGCAAGCTTTTTACTGGGTGAAATTTAAATAAATATCTTAGTACCTCTAAGTTACTGAACTAACTCATTGTTTCATGTCAAGGGGCCTTCTTTTTTGTTGTCTCTGTCATTACCGTCAATGTCATGAAACTTTTTACATGTTTTGCTCACAGTGATAAACAACTCAGTCATTCACACACTGATATGGAGTGGTTCTGACTCATTGTGACTCTATAAGGTTTCTAAGGCTGTAAATTTTAATGGGAGGAGACCGCCATCTTTCTCTAGAAGAAGTGCTGATAAATTTGTACTGCAGACATGAAGCCTCATTGCTATCACAATACTGTAGAGACTAGACCACGAGAGTGACTCTCAAAACAGATACGTTATTCTTCCTTTTTCTCATTCCTTCGATGTTCAGTGCTATCATTATCCAGTCATACCAAGAGAAGTATCTTTAGTCTAGTTTAGTTGCACTGTCTTCATTTAATGTTTTGAAAATTTGAAAGAAATGCCTGTATATCAATTCGATATATTATTATATACATTTACAAATTATAATTTTGAAATCTAGTTATAGGATATGGAGCTCCAGTAGCCTCGTGGGCTGTGAATTGTACTGCCAACCCAAAAGCATGTAGTTCAAATCCACCAGCTGCTCCAAGGAAAAAGATAGGCAGTCTCCTCTTGTGGGATTTACAGCCTCTGAAAACTCCCAGAAGGGTCAATGCTTGAGTCAGTTCTGACTTGATGGCAATGAGGTTTAAGTTTGAGTTTTTTAAGATATAAGAGAAAATATTTGATAAAATGAGTTAGAAGGGAAGGGTAGCCAAATATGTATATGGTATAAATACAATTGATTTGGACAAAAAATAAAGAAATCAAATTGTAACTAGATTTTTTAAAATTATGGTTGATGTTTTTGTCTTACTTTTAGAGCCACCAGATTCTATACACATTAACTGAACTACATTAACCAAAAGTATCTCTAAAAGTATACTTTATACTTTCAGGTATGGTTTGGGAATGATTTATTACAAGCAAGAAAAATTCAGCCTTGCAGAAATGCATTTCCAGAAAGCACTTGATATCAACCCTCAAAGTTCAGTTTTACTTTGCCACATTGGAGTTGTAAGTAGCTTTCCAAACACTGATGATTATTATGGAGTTAACTACTACCTTGTGTAAAACAGTGAGAGGTTAACTCAACCTCGGTTTTCTTCATGCCCATTAGTATGTTTGAGTTCCTTGTTGAGCTGCTATGTTAATCCATCTCATTGATTGTTTCCTTCATTTTCACAGGCCTTTATACTTTACTGAGCATGACACTCTTTTCTGAACATTTCTGCTTTTTAATCTCATTTTGAAATGTATTTGTTATTGGCATAATTAGTGAAAATTGGAACTTCTTATTGTTCTTAAAAGAGGAGTATAGGGTCTTTTCTGGTCAAAGCACACCATTTCTACCTGACATTAGGAAAGATCACTGGAGTGTCCTCACCCTTTGGGCAGGTCACCTAATTTCTCTGAACTTCTGTTTTAGTTTATGAATTTTCATTCTTTTATTAATGTTGGTAATACTTTCTTTGTCAATTTCAGATTTATTAGGAGACTCAGATGAAATACTTAACATTTTTAAAAACACAATTCTACCTGTTAATATTTAGCTCTTAAGAAATTATTCTTTCAAATCAAATAATTCCTGTGTCTAGGCATACTGAATACATATATTAGAACAAATTAAAATTCTATAAGTCAGTTGTAAAAAGAGCAAGGACAACATAGAGATGCCATATCTGACCTTCCCCAATTCCACAAAGGGAAACTGTTTCTGTCATCAACACCACCAACACAAAATCAGTTCACATGAAGTCAACATGTCCCCCCATGCATCTGCACCTCTTTCTACTAATTCCAACAGCAATCTTAATGCTTTAGTAGGTCCAAAATCCATTGCAATAGCTTATAGACCACACAAAACTGTATTAGGGAAGTCAAAGGGCTGTAATTCAAGTTCACAGCAAGACACAATCACTCAGGACAGTTTCAGAAATGTGCTCGCAGGCACATTTGAGGATTTGTGCTCAAGAGAAACCTCAGCCTTGAGACTTGCGGCTTTAGGCCAGTGTTATAAAGCCCTCAGTCTTGCCAGTTATGGCTCTCTCCCCACCAGTACTCTTAACAAACTTGCATAGAGTCTGTTGGCTCTGGTTCCAAGGGTAGCAGTCCAAGCTCAGCTCCATCTCATATCAGGTCTCTGGTCCTCTACTTTAGCCAGGGCTGAGCTGCTGCTATAGGTCTAGCTAGTGCAAAAATCTCTGACCCCAAAGGGCACGCTCAGCATACTTGCTTCTCTTTTGCTGGTGGTGAGATTCTGCTACTGAATCCACTCAACTTAATGGCTAGGCTAGCCAGTCCCCTTGTGTATAGGCTAACATACCCTATTGTCATACTCTGCCCCTCCTCAGGACGAAGTCAGTTAATGGATAGGAAAACCTTTTGAATAATAAAGCCTTAACACCACAACAGTGTAGATCATCATTTAATGTGTACGTCTGTAAAACATATCTGTTACTTGTGTTCCTCACATATGAACTATCTCATCATACACACTGTATTTATAACAATAGTAAAAAATCTAGGATCAAACGTGTAAAGAAAGCAAGGACCACTTGGGGAGCGCCATATCTGACCTTTACCAACTTCTGGAGGTAAACTCTCCCCATCCACGGCATCAGTAACACAAAATCAGTTCCCATGAGGTCAAACAGACATCCCATATGTTCCCATACCTCTTTCTACTCATCTCAAAACCAATTTTACTGCTTTTCTGTGTCCAGAATCCAATGTGATAGCTAGCTCACAAACCACACAGAACCATATTGAGGGAGTCAAAAGATTATAATTCAGATTAACAACAGAATACAGTAAAGACAGCTCCCAAAATGTGTATGTAGGCATCTCAGCCTTGAATCTCATCTGAGTGTTCCAAAATTCTCAGTCCTGCCGATATTGGCTTCCCTCCTCCAGTTGTCCAACAAAGGTTTAAGTCTTGCTAATATTGGCTTCCCCCCACCCAACAGGGTCTCATCTGACATCATGTCTCCAGTTCGTCCATGGCTGCTGCTGTCTCAAAGCTTGTCTTCATCGTCACTGTGTTAGGGGGAGGTCTCTACTGGTGTGGGAAGCATTCTCTGCATCTAATGAGAGCTCTTCCGCTTATTGACAAAACTAGCTAGTCCTCTTGTAGATTTCTGAGACTGGCCAATCCCCTGGTAGATAAGCTAACACGCCCTATTTGCATAGTCCCACCCACTCTATATTTAAATATTGTTGGAAAAGCCATATTTAAGGACAAACTCCATACAACTATTTTGCATGTTAACGATGTACATCTGGCAGTAAAAACACCAAGGTGTGCGTAATGAAGACTCTGATAGTTACGGTTGTATGTCAGGGTGGCTAGGCTGTGATTTACAGAGCTTAGCGTGCCAATTTTCATATACCATCTTGGGCTTTGGAACCCAGTTATGTCCAGGAGTGAGGAATATATGTAATTTATTTCCCAGTATTACAGATTAGTAGTTTCCACATATGAAAAGCAGAACTATCTTTTTTTTTCTCAAATAAATTCCTACAATAAGTAAAGAAGGTCATTGTTAAAAGTAAGACAGTATTGGTAATACTTAGAGCCAAATCCTCTTAGGTATTCTTTCAACACAATTTTCAAAATTCTGCTATTTAGATGACTGTTATAGAACTGTTAAAATATATTGTAATAGTGTAAGTTTCTTCTTGTGGAGGAAAATCTAAGGTTTTACTTGACTATTAGACCTAACAGTCACCAACTATTTGCTCTAAAGGTAGAATTTTGATGGTCATTATAGCTGCATAATGGTGACTGAGAGAGAACAGGATTAGGGACCAGGAACCTAGAGTCTGAGCCAAGAGCAAGTAATTTTACATTTCTAAACATCAAACATTTAAAGATAAACCATAGTCTCATCTTCAAAATAAAGCAGCTAAATGTGACTTAAAAAGATCCTTAGAGGTAACTTATTATTAGTGTGGTTATCAGTTACTAAATCTAGTTAACCCATTAGACAGTCCAACATAATATAGCCCTATCTCTAACATTATTTTTATGTTGCCTTTGAGTCATACTATTTGCTTCTCACCTTTCTTCATACCTATCAAAAGGAAACATTAATAATTTTATTTCTTAAAGGTTCAGCATGCACTGAAAAAATCAGAGAAGGCTTTGGATACCCTAAACAAAGCCATTGTTATTGACCCCAAGAATCCCCTATGCAAATTCCACAGAGCCTCAGTCTTATTTGCAAATGAAAAATATAAGGTAAGATAAATATCTTATTGTTCTTCTGAATTATATGTCTTAGCTTTGTACCCTTTATTTTAATAAACTAAAAGCTATTTGTTTAATTTTATCTGAAATTGTTCATTTACCCCATTTTTAAGAGCTATTTTGTGATTGTACATCTTTATGAAATATAGAACTATGGGTATTTAAGAGTGTATGATTCGCTCTTATAAAGATTCAACATATAGAAGAGTTATAAAGATAAAATTTAAACCATTCTCTTAAGATCACAATTCATGAACAGTTGACAAAGGAATGAACATACATATGTGTATTACCCATCTAAAGAGCTGCTGCTGGTGGATTCGAACAATGTGCCTTTGGGTTAACAACACAGCTCCTTACTACTGAGTCCTCAGAGCTGTTTAACTTGTTGGAAAGTGCTAAATTGTCCTCACAGATAGCTTCTGTCACTTTACACTTCCACATATCCCCACACTAATGCTAACTTGATGTAACATAAAAATGTTTATCACTTGCTAGATGGAAAAATTGGGCAATATCTCAAATTTTGAGGGGCCTCTTTTCTTTTTAATGATCATCTCTCACCTTTAGATGCAAATCTTGTCTGTCCTTTTCCTGTAGAGCCAACTGGTGGCCTTGAACTGTGTTTCTTCTGGATTGCAGCACAGCTTCTTGCCATTAGGCCACCAGAGCTCCCTAGATACAAATCTTATTCCTTGTCCCATCCTATCTCTCAGTCATCCTGCCTTGTAGCAATGAATGGTCAGAAGATTACTAGGCAGCTTTAATTCAGTTTAGAAATTACATTTTACTCTCTTCATCAGTAGTTGAAGTAGCAGGCTCGTATTCATAACTTAGTGATTGCACAAAAGAGAACCACCATTCATAGTACTTCTGATTTCTTGATTTCCAAAACATTTTTATTTACAATGTGATAGCTTAATGTTATCTTAAATAAAATGGTGACAGCAGTAAGAATTGTCAGAACCTGTGTGTTTCACAGATTTTGTACATATATATGTTCATTCTGGAGTGTATTTCCAGTGAATTCCTGTTATCATGAATATTTTTTAACATTCTATTATAACAAGATTTAATACAATAAAGAAGTACACTGATGAGATTTAACATGCTTTTATTAAGATTTGGGATTATCTAATGAAAACACTTGACTAGATTTTTTTTTCCCAAAGTGAAAAAAAACCTTTGTAAAATGTTGTTATTATTCTAAGGTTGTTTTTCTTTTCTTTTTTCCAGTCTGCTTTACAAGAACTTGAAGAATTAAAACAAATTGTTCCCAAAGAATCCCTTGTTTACTTCTTAATAGGAAAGGTAAAGACTGGGGCCTTGGTCCTAAACTATGACTTTTTAGCAAATACTAATGTTTGAAGTATAAAGCTAATCCTTATTATTCAACATTTAAAAAGCAAGTTCAACTACAACTCTCAACTAAGTGTGCTGGGAATAAAAATTGAATTTTGTTTTAATATTATTAAAACTCATATTAGGAATATTATTTCCTAACGAAGGAGCAAAACCACAGCCCCTCAAATTCTGAGCGTACTGTAATTTTGGTGGTATATAGCACTGGTAGTCCAGCGTCAGTAGTGAATTCATAGTTGTGACTACCTCATGGAAAGCCATTCATTTCCAATTCAAAATATAGTATTTATAAATGCCCAAAAATTAATGACACTACGTGACCTTGATTAGAAAAAGTTTACATGATTTCAAAGGCCAGTTTAACTAGCACTTTACCAGCTGAACCCCTAGATGTCCTAGTTGCTTAAAGTAGCTAAGGATTAGTGGACAGGGTGAACTCTGGTGGCCTAGTGGCAAGAAGCTGCACTGCAATCCAGAGGTCACGGTTCGAATCCAACAGATGCTGTGCTGGAGAAGGAGGAACAATCCCCTCCTATACCAGTCAGATCTGATTTGGTGGAATACCACAAAAAATAATAATAAAATAAGATTATTTTTTTTTTTTAAAAAGTCAAGAATTAGTGGACAGGTGTTGAGAAGTTGGTATAACTGTTTAAAACCAGTGTAAATAAGGCTTAATCAGCTTCTGTCCAGTGTCAGAGTTAGATTTCTTGGAAGCTTACCACCAATTGCCCTCAGATTGATTCTGATTCATGGCTGTACTATACATGCAGAGTAAAGCTATTCTCCCCAAATTTACAAGGCTGTGACCTTTCTTCTGAGGTTCCTCTGGGAGTTTGAACTACCATCTTTTCCATTTGTGGCCAAGAACTAAGCTGTTTTTGCTACACAGGGAAATCTAGAGTGGATTTAGAACATTCTAAACCAGGAGCCTAACTTAAATGTTTGGGGTTTATAATTGAAGCTCACAACTTAATGAAAAATGTAGTGCTGCTGTTTATTTTTAGGTTTACAAGAAGTTAGGTCAAACACATCTCGCCTTGATGAATTTCTCTTGGGCTATGGATTTAGATCCTAAAGGAGCCAATAACCAGATTAAGGAAGCAATTGATAAGCGCTACCTTCCAGATGATGAAGAGCCAATAACTCAAGAAGAACAAATCAGTGAGTATCGTCCATGTGAATTAAGCTTGTATGTGGTGACTCAAATCAGAAATCTAGAGAAGCACTGTAAAAGAATCAGGTGAAATGGAACAGATTTTTTTATGACAATATAAACATGGAAATATTTATAAATCACCAGAAGTTACCTTTTGCATAAGCATTTGTGGGCTGTTCTTTTCTTTTTCTAACTACTATATTCTTTACACAAAAGGTATTTAGGGAAGCAGATCAGTGTGAGTAGAATGCCTATGAAGTCAGATGACTATTCTCAGTTTGGGATCCAATTTGCTGGGTGATTTTTGTCAAAACTATTACTGACTTTTACCTCAGTTTACTTTTCGATGGCTATTGCTTGCCTTATCTCTTCATAAAAATGTAATAAGGAGAAAAAAGAAGCTAGGTATGTAGGCATGCTAAAAATGTTGTCAGTGTTAAGTGTGTGAATAGATCTGTAGTAGAGCTTATTAAAATGCAAGTATATGACTAATATATATAAATTTCACTCAGTTACTCATTGCTGTCAAATCAGTACCAACTCATAGCTGAACCTACAGCAGATTTTTTGAGGCTGTAAATTGCTTTGGAGGAGATTGCCCATCTTCTTCCTGAACAGCCACTAACGAACTTAAAGTGTTAGGGAGATGAGAATTTTGTGTTAGCAGCAAAACTCCCTATGGACCATGCCACCAGAGCTCCCTCTGTATAAACTTAGGGTTCAAGAAAAGTGCAACAATGAATGAATGGAATTCCAAAGTCTCTGTAAATTTTCATTGAAATTAATAATAAATTTTAAAAAGAAAAGAAGAAAGAACAAAAATTATCATTGATGACAGTTTGGAAATTATCAAACAATATCACTAATATCACAAACTAGGAAAATCCTGCTGAAGATCATCCAGAAGTGACTGGAACAGTACACTGACAGAGAACCATCAGAAATACAGGGTGGGTTTAGAAAAGATCGTGACACTAGAGACATTATTGCCACTGTCAGATAGATCTTGGCAGAAAGCAGAGAGTACCAGAGGACTGTATGTCTATCTGTGTTTCATTGACTATGCAAAGGCATTTGACTGTTTGAATCACAACAAATTGTGGCTTGAGGAAAATGGGAATCCCAGAACACTTCGTTGTGCTTAAGCAAAACCTATAAGCATTTGTGTAACCAGGAAGCATTTGTCAGAACAGAGCAAAGCAACACTGCATGGTTCAGAATCAGAAAAGGAGTGCATCATGGACGCATCCTGTTTCCAGACCTTTTCAATCTAAATGCAGAACAGATTATTCGGGAAGCAGGGCTTTATGAGGAGGAGTGTGGCATCGGGATGGGAGGAAGACTCAACAACCTACATTATGCAGATGACACAACCTTGCTTGCAGAAGCTGAAGAAGACCTGAAGCGCTTGCTGCAGAAGGTAAAGAACTGTAGTCTTCAATATGTATTGAAGCTTAACATCAAGACGACAAAGAGTCTTACCACTGGGCCAGTTGGCAGCACTGTGATAGGTGGAGAAGAGATTGAGATTGTTAATAATTACAGCTTGCTTGCCTCCACAGTCAACACTCAGGAAATCAAAAGACAAATTGCATTGGGAAAGTTTTCTGTCAGGGACCTCTCCAGTGCTGAAAAGCAACGATGTCAATCGAGAGACTAAGGTGAACCTAATCCAGGCCATGGTCTTCATAATTACTTGGTATGCATCAGAGAGCTGGACAATGATTAAGGATGACACAAGAATCGATGCCTTCGAATTGTGGTGCTGGAGAAGAGTCTTGAATCCCATGGACAGCAAAAAAACCCCAAAAACAAATAGTTCTGCCTTGGAGAGCGTGAAACCAAGTCTCCCCTTGGAGGCTAGAGTTTTGAAGCTCTGTCTCATATATTTTGGGCACATTGCCAGGTCCTTGGAAAAGGACATCATATTCGGAAGGGTGGAGGGACAACACAGGAGAGGAAGACCCCAGATGAGATGGATTAATACAGTGACTGGGGCACTGGGGGTTGTAGTGTCGGAATTAATGAGACTGGCTCAGGACAGGGAAGGGTTCAGAACTTCTGTACATAGGATCGCTGTAGGTCTCAGGTGACTCAATGGCACATAACAACAAGAAACCAGTAAACAAAGTACAGCTGATGATTGAGAATAAGGGAGGGGTCATTCTTTGTGTCTCTGAGAACTTGTTTTCTTCATGTGTAGGATATTCTTTTGATTAAACATGTAAAATTGATGGCCAAGCTCCTAGAACAAAAGTAAATTTTTTAGGCAGAAGTAGGTTGGACAGTAAAGCACTTAAAATTTAAATACAGTAAGCTAGTCTTAAACATGGGGTATAATGGGAAAATAAAGCTTGCATTTGGTTAAAAATCAGGATTTGGACCTTTTGAAAGACGCTTATTTAATGCTCATGTCTCTGAATAGAATGCAATTTTTTCTTACCTGTTTTCATGAATAGAAAAGAAATTCTGGTCAAATACCTTACCATCGATTTTTCTTTTGTTTTTAAAGTGGGAACAGATGAATCCCAGGAGAGTAGCATGACAGATGCCGATGATACTCAACTTCATGCAGCTGAAAGTGACGAATTTTAACTTCTGGAAATC